TTGCATAAATGTCGTCCTCCTATTCCACAGTTCTATGGAACCTACAGTATACAGTGAAACCGACCTGTGCATAACAGCATCTACCTGTACATAACAAAATCTACCTGTACACAACAAAATCTACCTGTACACAATAAAATCTACCTGTTCACATCAACATCTACCTGTGCACAACAACAACTACCTGTACACAACTAAATCTACCTGTACACAACAACATTTACCTATATACAACAACATCTACCTGTACACAACAAAATCTACATGTGCACAACAAAATCTACCTGTATACAACAAAATCTACCTTTACACAACAAAATCTACCTGTACACAACAAAATCTACCTGTACACAACAAAATCTACCTGCACATTACAAAATCTACCTGTGCATTAAAAAAATTACCTGTACATAACAAAATCTACCTGCACATAACAAAATCTACCTGTGCATTAAAAAAAAACTACCTGTACAAAACAAAATCTACATGTACATAGCAAAATCTACCTGTACATAACAAAACCTACCTGTACATAACAACATACTCGGACACACATTCATTGTTCTCCACCAGATCCTGACCCCAGGTGAGATTTCCTATAGTAAAAGGGACTGTTAGCATTATTTCAAGTGACCCTCCATGCAAAGATGACAATGCCCGATTTACAACGAAACCCATAAAAGCTTTGACTGATCAACTATGAATTAGATATAAATGTTTTATTTCTTCAAACTGTTTATTTTCATTTGTAGTTTTTCTGCAATAGCGTCTTATGCATTTCTTGCTTATAAGAAACAATGGAAAAATTCACAGAAATTACCACTTTTTGAGTAAAAAACGACGGTTTATTCCATATTTTTGATCAGATTAAGGTGTCAAGAATATCGTTGTATATCGGGCGTTGCTATCTTTGCATAAAGGGTCACTTGAAATTAAGCTTTCAGTCCCTCCTAGTCAAGTTGAATTTGATTATGCTGGATATCTTATGAAATATGTGAGCGGAGAGATTTGAATTCTGAAATTATTTGCCACAATCATATGCCATTTTACTGAATGCCAGGTTGACAAGTGAATGCCGCAAATCATATCTAAATAAAAGACGATCGTCAAGCCATCTCTCATTTGCCATGTTTCTTGGGACAAAAGTAAATCTTGTATTTTTAAACCTGAACTTCCTAAATATTTTGTTTGAAAAGCTAATTAAATAAAGAACAAAAATGTTTTGAATTTTTAATGTGTAACTAGTGTCCGAATTTAATGAATTTGAGCCGCGGCTTAAATCTGCCGAAAATCGGTTTCGATTGAGCGCCGGATAAAATCTTGAAAAATTAAATACAATTTTAAGTGGAACCAACCATATTTGAGCCGCGGATTAAATTTAAGCCGCGGCTAAATTCTTTAAATTCGTCC